CTACAAAATGGGCTATCTGCACTCTGTCAACTGCAGGAAATCGAACCCTGGATTTTAGCATTGTAATTCTGTAAAGTTACCGGGAGACTATGTGAACAATTGATATTATTTGGATATTTTATAATGACAATGTTTCATAAACATTGTCCTTTACCAACCCTTTATCTCCACTGATATGTTATAACAATGTATTGGAATGGTTATTAGTTCTCAGCAGTTGAAAGATTTGTTCAAGTTAAGTGTAGTTACCCTCTCTTGGTGAAGAATGTTTAAGCTAATAGCAGTTGACATATTTTTACCAATCATATTGTGAAGACAGTAAACACAAATTTGAAGGCAGTTCTAGAGACTCGTCACGGCAGGTGTTCATCATAAATCAAAAGAAGATAAATCCGTACCCTTATGGTGCCGTGGAAGGTAGAAATTAGCATGTAGATATAAAATATCACAATTAGGGCATAAAATAGTATGGTATGAGATAGCGACAGCAGGGGTATCGACAATGTCAAATAGCAGCATGAATACATGATACTTCCCATTTTAAATAACAGCTGAGTAACGAGAAGTGTTATAAAAATTCATGGGCACAATCCTTTTTATGATGAATAACAGTATGCGTATGCAATAATGCTGAATGACAGCACGAACATATATGTGTGTGTGTATATACGTACGTTTTGCATGGAATATGGAGAGGTATTGTATTAACTATCACTATGAACACATGCTGATATAAATGAAATAGCTGCATGGACACCCGACGAGTTTTATGTTGCATACCAGCAGGAGTATAGATGAGTATTATTTGAAATAGCTGTATGAGCACAGAGAGATTTTACGTTGCATGTCAGCACGGACAGGAACAAGTATTTTATGAAATATCAGCATAAGCAGAGAGAGATATTTCGTTTCATATCAACAAGGGCGTAATGGTAGTGTGTGGCTTTGAGTAAAGCGCTTCATAACTGAGAACGTTTTATTATATAACAACAGGGGTGAAAGAAGTAGGGTGAAGTGGACACGTTTTTGAAAAGAGAAAAAAATCTACGTGTAAACATGAAAAAAAACACGACAATTTAAGTATCAATGAATAAATTATTTCCGATGGAACAATGGAACGCACGCGCATCCGAAAAAACAGCTCAAATAAGTCCCAGTACTAAAACCGCCTTAAAAGAAATTAGTTTCGGTACTCAGTACCGGTGAGTACCGTCAGAATTGCACCCCTGATAACATTCATATCTAAATTCATACCTTAAAAGTTTTTATGATACCCTCAAAGCCTACATGCACATGCTTAATATAAGTGAACATTAAGCTTCGATTAATAAGGAACTTCAACACTTTTCCAGTTTGTTACAAGGTTTTTACTGTTTGTTAGTACAACGTTCCCAGCCTACTACTATGTTCACATTGAACTTAATATATACAAGTATCAGTTACATTTATCCTTGTGGTGTGCTGTTTGATACTTAAAACATGTCACTGCATGCCTGTCTTGATCTTGATGTCAACAATAGGAAATTCAACAATTTCACTAATTATTTTTCCCCGTTACTTATGGCTATAGCTTTCTTAGGGTAAGCTGAGATGGTTTTATTTCACCTGACTAGCAGAGTAACGTTTGATTACCTTGAATACTGAACATGAACTTTCAATTAGTAATGCATCATGTTTGGACAATCGATCAAATAAATAGTCTGAAACGCTTAACACTTCACAAGTGAAAATGGTACTTCAAAGCTTTGTAGGTATAATACTCTAGGTATCCACCAGCCTATATTAATTCACATTCTCGGTTTGTTCGTGGACTCGTTCTACAATCTGGATCTAGAAGGAATCAAATTTGCCAGGCGGACCCACAGCAGCTGGTCTATATGACATGTCCCCACTATAAATGGAGGGGGGGGGGCTAACGTGTTTTGAAGGTCACCCAGGCATAAATAATGGGTATTTGGGAATAGATTTACATGGTCGCTGAACCCGAATATGGCATCTTATTTTGTATTCCTGGCCCCTTCAGGATTCCGATGATTCCTTTCAGCTTTGGGGCGTTATAAAGTTTCGGTCAATCCCACTATTCGTTGGTAAGAGTATCCCTAGAGTTAGCGGTGGGTGGTGATGACTGACTGCCTTCCCTCTAGTCTTTCATAGCTAAATTAAGGACGACTAGCGCAGATAGCCTCCGTGTAGCTTTGCTCGAAATTCACAACAAACAAACAATACAAAAACCCTAGCGGACAAAAGTTCTCAGCAAGGCCCCGAAGAAAAAGAAGAAAAAACAGATTAAGTACACTTGCAAATAGAAATCTTGATACATAACTAAAATACTAACAAGTAACATGACACGCAAAGTAATGAATTTGTGCAGTTAGATGGAGCTTTACTTCAGCGACTAATGATGTTATAGTTTGTGTATACGAGGCTTGGCTGACATTTTGTGGAATCTAGGCGAGATTTAGGTAGGGTTGAGAAGTTGACTTTCCGTGAGAGTTAGAAGCAAAGGTAAGTAGGTACAGTAATGAATAAAGATCTCATATAATTGAACAAATTGATTATTATACGCGTTATATTCGGATTTCAATTATGTAAGAAGATTTGGTTTCGCGTATACGCATTGCCTTACATTTTACCAATTTCTCTTCTTTCATTAGCAACCTTAATGTTTCTTTTATCCGTTAGAGTTTTTGTATTGATTATACGAAATGGTAGCCTAGGTACACAGAGATATTCTATGGAATTATAGCATATACATAGATTAATATTCTATGAAATAATAGATTGACAGAGACAGATATTCTGTGAAATAATAGTATACACTTAGACAGGTATTTGTGTTATTAACTAAATAGCAGCATTAGCATTGACATGAGTGTTATTGAATAACAACAGAGACATAGACTTAAGTATAGCAAAGAACGTGGAAATTAATGAACCACGGAGAAATATAAAATAGAGCGTCTAATTATTCAGGAAAACGTTCCGAACACATCTGTCTATGTTCAACTTCAAGCTGCGAATACCGGTAAACCTTGAAGCGAGACGTACGTGAAGGAAACGCGGTTTTGATTAATTAAATTTAAATGTTCGGGTCTACATTTTTATGCGAGTTTTTGCAGTAGCTATCTTTTTTTTTCCCGTAAACTAAAAATAACAAAATGAACGTCGACAGCGATAACAAAAATACTGGAAATGCTGACATATGGAGGTGGAACAAAATTACTGTACAGTTGGTACTAAAGAAAATATTGCGAAGACAATTGAGAACAGTTGAAACTTTTTGTTTCGTCGTGATAGCTAGAAATTTAACCATGTTCTAAATGAAACAACTGTTGGATCACTCGTGTCACACCCTATATATCAGTTATAGATACCATTACGATGTTAAACCTTCAGTACTGACTAACATCCTGGGAAAACATTTATCAGTTATAGATACCATCACGATGTTAAACCTTCAGTACTGACTAACATCCTGGGAAAACATTTATCAGTTATAGATACCATCACGATGTTAAACCTTCTGTACTGACTAACATCCTGGGAAAACATTTATCAGTTATATATACCATCACGATGTTAAACCTTCAGTACTGACTAACATCTTGGGAAAACATTCATGAAGTACTAGATAGCAATGGGAACATAGATCAGTATCAAATAGGTGAATAAGCTTAGCGTCTATGGTACCAAATCATAGTTTAATCATCAACAGTACTGACTAACATCCTGGGAAAACATTCATGAAGTACTAGAAAGCAATGGGAACATAGATAAGTATCAAATAGGTGAATAAGCTTAGCGTCTATGGTACCAAATCACAGTTTAATCGGTCAACAGTATGCTTTTGAACATTGTAGCTTAAAATAAAATTATTCTTGTTCATTTAGTTTTATCATTATGTGACTCAGTTCTTAATGCATAGTTGTTCATTGTCTGACAACAGTAAGTCGGTATTCAGACTTTGTTGTTTTTAGTTCGGTTCCCACGAAGAACATTCTTATCAGTTGATTCACCGGTTATTAACTTTTAAATCATTATGTATTGTTACTTACGGGCGTTCTATTTTTGTCTTTCTGTTTCCTTCCAGATCACTGATTGATTTATTAATAACATGCATTTTTTATTAGCTGATTCACAAATTATTAACTGTTAAATCATTATGTTTATTTATTTGTCGTTAAGCACAAAATTACGCAATGAGTTATCTGTGCTGTATCCACAACAAGGGTCCGAACCCGGTTTTTGGCGTTATAAGCCTTCACACTTACAGATGAATCGCTTGGAGGCAAATCTTTAGGTATTTGTTGCTACGGGCGTTCTATTTTTGTCTCTGTGTTTACCTCTAGATTTCTGATTGATTTATTAATAACACACATTTTTCAGCGTTTATTTTGTTATTATAAATACGTTGTACTTATAAAACACCTCGTTCTCTTTCTTTGGAAAAACGTACCAATAGTTGTCTAAAAAATGGTGGACAGCGTGCTGAACCACGATCTCGCTGAAATCAGGTTGTAACTAATAATATATTCCTTTATTTTGCAGACAGGTATCATAAGCCCGTTGGAATCAATCTCTCTAAGAAGGAAGTAGCATTAGCGAACTGCCTAGAGGAAGAGGGTAACTTGTTGAATATAGATCTTCATGCTCGAAGGCATTACAATCAGAGAAGTAATCAGCATCTCAGCTGTCAGCGATAGGAATGGAGATAACACTTCAGTAGGAATTTCTTTTCAATCAGAAACATTACACAACAACTCTCAGGAGATCAGTGGATATTCTATCGAAACGATTGCTTTAGCGAACATATAGAAGTCCCGACTATCTATATAAGAATCTTGGTTTCTATATAAGAGTCCCAGTCATCCAGCCTGACTGACAAAAAAAATGTATCTTCTTATTTTAAACAGATTGTGAGATTCGCGCGTGACCATAAGTTAGCACTGATTACGTAACTACTTATATTATTAAATGTTCTTTACAACGGAATTCAAATAATGGCATTTCAAATAATGGATTTCGATTCGGAAATGTTTGATTTTTACTTAAACACAGCTTCGCTCGTTTTAGAGGAAGATAACAAAAAAAACTGTGGGACTGGCTCCAGTTTCACAAAAGAAGTAACGCTAGTGACAAAATCTCTACCACAAGATGTCAGTAGCGTCTGCACAAACTCTCATGAAGATGTGAAAAAGTTCGTTGATGAACATACCGCTTCAAGTTCTAACATTTCCTCTTCAGAATATAATCTTAGACCTCGCTCGATATTGAAACGACTAGAAACAGAAAAGCAACGGTACACTAAAAAAGTGCCTAAACCAAGGCAAAAACCGCCACCTTTAAGCAAGTATCGAAGAAAGACAGCTAATGCGCGTGAACGATCCCGGATGAATGAAATGAACGAAGCATTTGACAAACTGAGAAAGGTCGTACCGACTTTTCCCGTTAACGCCGGTGTGGAAAACACTAAGTTAACAAAGATTACCACGCTTCGACTAGCTGTGAACTACATTGCAGCTTTGACGAAAATTCTTCATACAGCGGACAAAATACAAAGCAAGTCCAGGACTGAATCCATAGCTGGATCGAAAACGTCAAGTTCTGTTCCTGCGTCTTATTGTTTCAAAGTGATGTTGGAATCAGATGGAGATAGCACACAATTTAGTGATGAACCCAATATCGATTAAATGGTGTAAATCACAGGTTGCTGATGGCGGCAAAACAATATGCAATTATAACATCAAATAAACGGTGCAGAATATAAAACTAGTTTAGTTGTTACAGTCGGATAACTATGTAAGAAACTAAAGTGAGACGCAGTGATGAGCTTAATAACAGTGTTAATATAGATGTGTGGTGAAACTCCTTTAGTGACGAACTTAACAACAGTATTCTAATATAGATCTGTGGTGAAACTCCTTTAGTGACGAACTTAACAACAGTATTCTAATATAGATCTGTGGTGAAATTCCTTTAGTGATGAACTTAACAACAGTATTCTAATATAGATCTGTGGTGAAATTCCTTTAGTGACGAACTTAACAACAGTATTCTAATATAGATGTGTGGTGAAACTACTTTAGTGACGAACTTAACAACAGTATTCTAATATAGATTTGTGGTGAAACTCCTTTAGTGACGAACTTAACAACAGTATTCTAATATAGATCTGTGGTCATCTTAAAGCCTCAGCTGAAACTTGTGGAGTGAAAATTAGCGTGATGGTGAAATAATAATCATCAGTTGAAGAGAGATGATGAGAACCTTCTTTAATGACGAACATAACATCTTTTGATTAATATTAAGTAAGACTTAGAAAAGACACAAGCTCAACAGCGCTTTAACAATACGAGGAAAATCCACCTTAATGAGGAGCTCAACATTGATTTGATAATATAGGGCAAAATCCACCTTAGTGTCGAGCTCAACGTCGATATAACAATATGAGGCAAAATCCACATCAGTGACGAGTTCTACATCGATATAACAATATGAGGCAAAATCCACATCAGTGACGAGTTCTACATCGATATAACAATACAAGGAAAAACCACCTTAGTGACGAGCTCAACATCGATATAACAATATAAGGAAAAAATCCACGTTAGTGACGAGTTCCGCATGATATAACAATATGAGGCAAAATCCACATTAGTGACGAGTTCCGCATGATATAACAATACAAGGAGAAACCATCTTAGTGACGAGCTCAACATCGATATAACAATATAAGGAAAATTTACCTTACTGATGAAAAGGACATCGATTTAAGGATACGAGGCAAAGTCCACCCTTAGAGACGAACTCGACATCGATCTGACAATACCGGGCAAAGTTAGCTTAAGTGAAGAGCTCAATATCAGTGTAACAGTATATAATATAATTAGTTGTGTTTCACAATCGGTTCAACTCTGTAGACCTCTGTATTGTTTTTATTCGTATGTGTATATAAATATAACAGTATAGCTTTGAGCAAACATAAATTTACAAATGTAACAAAAACAATTCTTTAGAAGGTATGTATACTTATATCTAATAACTACTGCTGAAACGCTGAATGGATTTATTGTAAAGTACTGTAGAAACCGAGATTGGCCACAGTTAATTTTTTTTAAACTGTTGGAAATATAATGTGTGTTTATACCACACAAGCCATTATTTGTTACATATTTTTCAAGCCATTCAGTAAAACTATTGTTACTGTAATATACAGGAACTTTTGGCCTATTACTATCACTTTGATACAGTCGTATTGCGTGAAGATACTGTTTTTAAACTTCAAATTTGCTTAATTTGAACTTCACGGTTATGTTGAAGACAAACTTGACGATAAACATCTCATTGATCGAAACCACAAACTTACAACCTTGATTTTAATTTAGTAAAATGAAATTCTAGTGAAGTTTTAATGACACAAGGAATATTTCTACTGATATATTTCACCCTTACTTGCTATCTCTGTGTTTCCAAACTTAAATTGGGAAGACGACAAATTTATTACTAAAAAAGAACTAGTATCGTACCAACACGTAATACGAAACATTTTTATCATAAGATTTCCCCTTGGAGGGAAATTCAGTAAAGCTTTGAAAAATTACAATGCCGTTTATTTGTCTCTCCGAAAATAGTTTATAAATTACAGATGATAGAGATAACGTTTGGAGACGTTTTATCACATATAGTGACAGATTTCCAAACTTTCAATAAGGCTTTTTGATAATCAGTTACAAATAGTTTATATATATATATATACACACACACACACACACAGTCGAGACGTTGTATATTTGTTACTATATTAAACTTGTAATAGTGTTCGTAGTTACTAGTTTAAGCCATCTCCAAACTTGGTTTTCTCGTCATCATAAATGATAAAGATGTTGGACATCTCGACAAGCTTACTGCTCATTACGCGAGATGATGAAAACTCAACAACCAATAGGTACACATGAAAGCAGATCGTTCAGAAAATTGTCTTTATTGCTTTCAATGTGAGTTTTATGAAATATAATAATCAATACTTGTACATAAGTTAATTAGATATTAAAAACAACCCAGCAACAAACATTTCTCGTATATTCAAACACTTATCGTCCGAAGGTACGTTTTATAATTAATAATAGTTTGGGAGTATTGGTTTGATTCACGTGAACCATAATAAAACGGTTATACTTTATTTTGCTAGTAAAATACAAGATTTCGGCAAAATAAAATAAAATATCATTTACGTTGTTCCTTAAATGATTAATAATTAAATGTTTCGATGAGCTTATTAATTGAATAGAAGAATCTCGTTTTAAAATGTATATTAAAAGAAAGAAACATCAATAACTAGCTCAAGTTCCATATGCACGTCCCGAGAGAGCACACAGTTTCTAATTACTTCAACAGGATTCATTTAGTATTTAAATATAAGATACAGTTACACTTCTGAAGTGAAAACATTTTTTGCTGCGTTTATCTAAAACAATCGAATAATACTGAATGTATATACAGAAAGACACGCGATTTGTGAAGTATAACGATTCATGTATGAACATGATTTTTTGGAGTAAACGAATATGATAAAAAAACTGCTTTTTTTCTTTTGTGACTTACTTTTTCTTACATGTTGTTTGTAATTAGTAGAAGCTATTGTATAGAACACTAATCAAGTAATTTATTTTTAAATTTTATATTATTGTTCGTTATAGTTCACCTTGTTCACATCACGTGTTGAAATTTCTTATCATAGCCTTTTAAGTAAACAAAACATTTACGTTTGTACAAATTCAAACAGTAAAGTTTCTAATAATTTTTATCTTACTTTCACTTAACTAGAAAAGGTTTATCGATCAACTATTGGTTGAAATCTTTATAATTTATGCATATAAACAATTTAAGGAACTACAGTATTATGTAACTTGTTGATTCAATGAGGATCCTATGAAATTATCTTGGCCATTGTACGAAGACCTGCAGTTCACAATTTAAGGGACCACAGTATTGTGTAGCTTGTTGATTCAATAAATATCCTATGTACCATTTAAGGACCGCAGTGTTTTGTAAACTTATTAATTCAATGAAGATCTTATGTACAATTTACAGATCACAGTGTTTTTTAAGCTTTTTAATTCAATGACAACACGATGAGATTATCTTGGTTATCGAAAGAAGACCCGCAATTAATCAGCAGACACAGAGCAATGTTGTTCTTTAATCTTCAAGTCTGTAGAAAGTAAATTAATAATTTATTACTTAGACTACATTATGTTTGTTAAGCTGTACTTATCATCGTGTGCTTGTTTGAGGAAACAGGCCGATTGGAACGTTCTGATGTTGTAAAATTCTGACAAGGCAAGACTTAAACATTCACACAGTTAAGCTCTTTGTACCCCAAGCTTTTATGTACGAATTATAACTATCTTTTTTTTCAAGAGAGATATAAAGAAACAATTATTTGTACCTCCTATTATCTTTTAATTGACAAAAATAAACGTGTTACCTTGTTTCTCTTTTGTTCTGATTTGCAATTAAAACAATTATCCGATACATTTCAGGCTTGAGTTAATTTCAATATAATTATTTGAGAATCATGACTAGAAACGATTTTTCTTGTTATTTCTTGTTTTAAACGTCAACATGTTAGCATAACATCATTAGTTTAATTTATTTGATTCTTTCAAATGTTTAATAACTTCCAGCAACGGTTAAATGGCAATGAAAGCCAAGGTTAACATTCGAAAGAGAGGCAAAACGTTTGACTATCTTATGAAACTTCTCATTATTTTCTAAAGGCATAATAACCTCTGTACTACGGAAAATAAATCTCAAGCCTTTCTTTTACAAATCAAATTATAAAATGAAGCATTTATCTCATTGTGAGGAAATATTCAAACACATCGTTATAACTGAAAGTTTTTATTATGACAAACTAAGATGTTTGTTTTTTTTTAATTTCGCGCAAAGCTACACGAGGGCTATCTGCGCTAGCCGTCCCTAATTTAGAAGTGTAAAACTAGAGAGAAGGCAGCTAGTCATCACCACCCACCGCCAACTCTTGGGCTACTCTTTTACCAACGAATAGTGGGGTTAACCGTCACATTATAACGTCCCCACGGCTGAAAGGGCGAGCATGTTTGGTGGGACCGGGATTCGAACCCGCGACCCTCAGATTGCGAGTCGAGCGCCTTATCCACCTGGTCATGCCGGGCCAACAAACTAAGATAAAAAATAGGTCGAACAGCATACTTTCTATTTACGTTATATAATTTGATAGTAGTTTAAACAGTAACAACATTTTTATTTTATTGCTGGATTATATTTAGTGATGAAAAGCATAATTATATTTGTACGTAGTGCACCAAACATTTAGAATTGCGTTTAGATTTTGTTAAACAATACCGATGTCTGTAGGTTTACTTTCTTCTTAGAATTCTTCTCAAGAAGTCGATAAGCCGTCTTAATGTTGTTAGAACAACGGGTAAAAGTTATAGCTAGTGATGAGTTGGCCGACGCGTTTCGAACGCATTCTGCATCCATTATCAAGGCTGAATGTTGTGTGAATTGTGATTACTGTTGGTGGATATTTATAGGTATGGGTAAGCAGGTGGTGGTATCTAGCTCGTGGAAGGCGTTAATTGGTGGAGTGTTGTATTGTGGCTTGGGGGTTTTTCGCCAAGAAGTAGCAGTGTGCGTGCTGTTCCTG